TCTAACAATTATTTACTACAAACCAGGTTGTTGGGATTCTTTTTCCTTTTTTGCTAAGGACCAATTGTTTTCTAATTATAAATAGACAATATTGTCCTAAGTGCTGTAAAAGATCCTTACAAGCTCACAAGTGTCTTGTAACACTTGTAGGTCCCAATAATGTCCAAATATTCCTGGCATCATTGTTAAAAAGATAATTTACTAAAACGTACTGGCCCATTCAGCTAAGGGGTTTTATACAAGGATGTCTTTGTTATTATTAAAATGCTCATGTTTTGAGAAAAACCGCTTAAATGGATGACCTTGTAGGGGAAATAAAAGACTGTGAAGATTAATTTTTTTCAATACGTTATTGCAATTAATATACAACATTTCAGATACTGAATTTAGCACTTTGTTTCCCTAAAAAAAATTAACTGCCAGTGCAATAAGTCCTAGAACTGGATTTTAAGATTTAAAGTGATAATTAAGATATTATAATACCAGATTTCATAATAATTCAATTTTATGCCATTACTTAAGGGTGACTCTATTGTTTTAACTCTCAAATCTTCAAGTAATATACATTTTGATCAAGCAGCAAAAAGGAGAACTCCATGCATTACAAATACTATTTTGGTCCCCATGCCATTCTTGAAGCATTACACCTCTATAGCTTCCCTAAAATAAAAATAAATTTCCTTAATTTTTAATAAAGATTTCCATACTATACAACCCTAAATGATTGATAAGGCTGCCCATCACCATATTGCAACACATTGAATGCTACAGATAATTAGTTATTTGGTATTGATTAATTATGTACAATCAAGTCAGTGTCAATTGTTAGTAACTATATCGATTTTCTCTAGGATGATCTGTCCCCAACTTGGCCCTTCAGATTCCAGTAGTGCACCCATCACTGCTATAACTGAATCCAGCCATCTTGCTGTTGGCGTCCTCTTCTCCTGTTTCTTACAACTTCTCCCAGCATTATAGACTTCTCAGCAGAACTAGGTATTCCCACAAGGTGTCCAAAACATACTATTTTAAGTCTCATCATTTGTGCCTTGAGTAAGAACTCTGGATTGAATTGTTCTACGATCCGTTTGTTTGTTACCTTGGCTATCCATGGTATTCTCAGGAGTCTTCTTTAACCCCAGCGTTCAAAAGCACCAGCACTCTTTCTATCCTGATCCTTTAAAGTCCAAATTTCACTTCCACTGAGTGTCAGAGTTAAAACCACTGCCTGCTGAATTCTGTAGGTATAGATACATCATATTTGAATATCTTTTCCAAAATCTTCATTGCTACCCTACCAAGTGCTAGTCTGTGGCGCATTTCTTGATTGCTGGTTCATTTTGATGGTTGATCAAAAAGGTAGAAGCTATCTACCACTTCAATATCTTGTCAGTTCTAAGGCTCGGTTGCTGGACCCATTATAATGAGTTTGGTCTACTTTGCATTTAATCTTAGTCCCATGCTTTTACTCCGCTCTTTGACTTTCACTACTAGAGCTCCAAATCATTTATATTTTCAGCTATTAGAATAGTATCATCAGTATAGTACAGGTTATTGATATTTTCTTTTTCCAATTTTAAAACCATGTCCATCTTTTTTCCAATACAGCTTCCCTCAATATATATTCAGCATACAGACTGAATAAAGAAGGGGAAAGTATACAGCCATTTTTCATTCCTTTGTCAACCTGAAGCCAATCTGTTTTGCCACGATGTGTCCAGACTGTGGCTTCTTGACCTGTATGTGAGTTTCACATGAAAGCAATGAGATTTTTTAGACTCCCTTTTTCCCAATGACATTTTGCAACTTGACTTGGTCAACACAATCAAAGGCCTTTCTATAATTATTGAATTGCATATTGACTTGGTTTTGGTATTGTTTTGCTTTCTTAATTATCCAGAACGTATCAGCAATAATGTTTCTTGTTCCTTGGCTCTTTCTAAAGCCAGCTTGAACATCTCCTTTTCCACATAGGCCTCTAACCTGTATCGGATGATTCTAAGTATTATTTTGGAAACAAATAAAATTAAGGTTATTGTACAACAGTTTGAACATTCTGTTATATCTTCCTTCTTTGGTACTAGTATGTAGACTGATCTTTTCCAGTTTATTGGCCACTGTGCTGTTCTCCAGATTTACTGGCACAGTTCAGTTAAAACCTTTACAGATTCTTTTGTTCTCTGCAATACCTCTGTAGGTATTCCATCAATTCCTGTAGCCTTCCTGCTTGATAATGCCTGGAGTGCTGATCTAACTTCATATTCTAGTACTAAAGGTTTTTGTAAATAGCTAATATCTTCTAAGGTATTTGGGGTGTTGACATTTCTTCTGTGCAGAATTTCAGTATACTCCTTCATCTTTCTTTGGTCTTCTTCAAATCTGTTACTATATGTCCATTGGGATTTTTTTACAATACTAATTTAAGGATGGAATCTGTTTCTGAGTTCAGAAAACTTTTCCATGTCTGTACCCATCTTCAATGTCTTTATATATGTTGTTGTAATACTGTTCCTTGTTTTTTCTAACAGTTCTCTGAAATTATTTAGTAAGTTCCTTCCTGAGATCTTTGACTTTGTTGCTTTGACTTCTCTTCTCTTCCCGGCAAATTCTACCATTTGTTCTGACATGCAGTTTCCTTTCTTCTGCTTCTTGGTCTTTGGCAGTCTCTTTCCACCTTCATCCTTAACCATTTCTTTGATTTTATTCCACAGTTCCTCTGCTTCCCTATCCTCTGCTTCCCTATCCCCAACTATACATTGACATCCCTATGTTAGTGCCATCTTTTAATTCCATGCTTATGTTTCTTAGGTTCCATATTCTCACTGAAAGACTGGGCTGAGAAGAAGGATTTCTTTTAACAGGGAGACATGTATGGTATTACGTACATTGAAGGAAAAAAAGAATGTAGGACACATACATACAAAATGGGGAATTCATGACCTGGGAACACTGAGAAGGATTTGGGTGTGGTCACTGACAACAATCTGAACATGAGTCAACAGTGAAGGGCTAACACAGTTCTGGGCTGCATTGGAAGCAGTGTATGAAAGAAACATGAAGTTATCATTCTTCACTTCCTGGCTTTGGGGAGACAACACTTTGAATACTGTGTACGATTCTGGGCATGACATTTACAGAAAGATATTGACAATTAGAGGAGGTTCAGAAGACGACAATGAAGATGATTTAGAGACTTGTGGACATGCCCTACAAGATAATAGGCTAAAGGAGATGTTCAGTCTGGAAATAGCCACGCTCAGGAATATAAAGGGAAGCTACAGGGAAAATGATCAGAAACTACTTTCCATAGAAGCTAGGAGCAGAAATAATGACTGTGAGTTGTAACCTAGATTTCAGTTAAATATAATAATAATAAAAAAAACTTCCTGACAGATCTATACAACAGCAGAAGAATCTATCTATGGGTTCTCCATCTCTGGAGATTTCTAAGAGCAGACAGACAGCCCACGTGTATGGTTTAGTTGATTTTCCTGCACACTTCAGAGGGTTGGACTAAATGATCCTTGTGGTCATTCCAACCCTACAGTTTTATGATTCTATGGAAAAACTATTATACCCTTTAAATAAAACTTGGATTCATAATAAAAGATTGCCCTTATTCTTTACAGTATTGGAAGATATTTAGCAGGCATTTCTCCAACTATATATTGCACATTGGTGTCATTTACACTCAGAAAATATAAAAGCCAAGCATTCAACAGCACCGTTAATAACACAGCCAATGAAGACGTGATTTCAATGCATTTTAAATCAAAATATTGTCATGCCCTTTACTTCACATGAAAAAGGCAGGGCAATATGGAGGCAAACATAATGCACAGAGACATAAATAAGTTCTGTAGTACTAATTGGACACAATACTGCAATCTGCAAAGTTGATTAGCACCCCCATGCTCAGGCTCGGAAATGCAGCGGCAGAAGAATTAGGCAACTGAATGTGCACGGCTTCTATAATTACAATTCTCTGCAAAGTCTATTCACTTGATGAAATTGTGTTTCATGTTATTGTGGTAGCTCTGCAGGCCTTGGAATAGTTATATAAAATGACTGTTTGCAGAAAAAGCATCATTCCATCTATATACAACCCTAGGTTCATTTTTTCAAAAAACAGCAACGTGGAAGGACCGACTAGGTTTACCTTGTAACTTGATTTGATGTCTTAGAACAAAAAGCTTGATTTACTTTGGACTACTTTAGTAGCCCATCAAATCACAGCCTCAATTAACCCTCAGGGGTGGGGTGGGGTGGGGTGGGGATAAAAAACAAACTAAAATGAAACTCTGGGACCATAAGTGGTATACAGATCAGGGTTTACTAGGACTGTGTGAGATAATTGAAAGATATGCCTCACAAACTATAGGATTACAGTACATACAAAATAGTTTTCTTTGAATCATTACAATGACCACTTCTTTTGCAATGCTCACTTGTCTACTTCACATGCAGATACAGCCAGGGACAGCTATCAAAGCAGTCACAGAAGTCTTGCAAACTGCCTTAGTTGCTTTAAGGGTTCAAAGACAGCTGCTTCCCAATCAAAGTTGCAGGCTCTGCAAAGCATTAGTTTCAAATGCTTTGTACAACCCCTTTGTTTACTAAAGTTATACCTGTTTGTATTATAGAAATACAAACCTGTTTGTGTTATATATTATTGTAAGCTGCCCTAAGTCAATTATGATTTCGCTGAATGTAAGCCTGTGGGATAGACAAATAAATAATAAAAAGGAGAATACCCCCCCACCCTTCCTATACACACAGAATTCTTAGTGGAAGAAACAATAACATTTGCCCAAGGGAATTAAGGGGAGCATGGTCCTTGTTTAATAAAAATAACTGAATCCTTTCAGAGTTTAAAGTATAGTGCCTGTTGCTGCTGGGGAAAAAAAAAACAAGGACAGATTGAGCTATCAGATATTTCATTGCACTGTTTGATAAAATCTGTCTATTTGTCTGCTGCTGCAAAATGCAACTCCACTCACCTTATAGACGGCGGGAACAATTTGGTGCATTTTTAGCCTATGAAATACAAACACATCGTAAACTGCTGACACTGCTAGCACAGTCACTCCTTGCTCCTTCCATAACATGCTGCAGGTGGCGCACAGACCGGCACCCAAGATCCAGCCCCAGGTTCCTTCTGAGCAGTTTCTCGTACAGCAGTGTTTGATATAACAGACGAGGGAGAGCAGGAAGAAAAGGCAAGCTCCAATATCAGCCCTTCCCACAATGCCTGCCACGGCTTCAGTGTGAATGGGATGAGAAGCAAATAGCAAACCGGCTAGTAAGGTCCAGTGTCCATCACCAAATAGCACTCGAGAAAAATTAGTGAAAAGACCCGTGACTGCTGCATGTAGAAGGACGTTTACGAGATGGTAACTCCAAGGATCCATTCCTCCAATAGCATAATTAATGCGAAAAGAGAGTGTGCAGAGAGGTCGGTAGGATTTATGGCTCCCACTGTGAGTCAGAAGAGTGCCCCAAAAGTCATTATAGAATAACTGCATCCATGGTGTTTCAGGAAGGAGATCTTGGTTTGTCTTGATTGCTCGGCTAAAAAATAAAAGAAATATAAAAAGAATCAAACTACATGACAACTATAAATAGGATTACTAAAAGACTATCACTGAAATTAACAACATTGTTTTTTATTTTGATATTAAATTCACACAAAAAGGTACAGTACTGTGCC